GTGGTTCACTTACGTTACGTGTGCATTTATCTGCACAGTCCCAGTAAACAACCTCTTCTATGCGCCAATGGATGTTCGCTGCTAAAGCGGCGAATCAAGGTCACGTTTGTGGCCTTCCTACTATTCGTGGAAAAAAACGTAAGAACGGAGTTCCCTTCCTGCCTAATAAAACTAAACAATAAACTGAAAACTAAACCAGACTAAGCCTAAGGTAAAACTGAGGCCAACTAAAACTACAAACACTAAAAATCACCACGGCACCTTAAAGATTTCTGCGTGGGGGGCGGTGCAATGGAGTGGAAAATGCTAAATAATTACACAAAAATAGGTCTACTACAACAAAACAAGTATTTAGTTATGTAAATTACGGTGTTACTTATAAGGAATCTTTACCCCCACCTCTTGCTCGTTTTTCCTTTTATTGTCGGTAAAGACGGAGATGAATGAATGATGATATCTATCTGGGCCACTTCTCTTGAGGGCAACAGTAGAATCGTTCACATTCCGTTGTAAAATAGTCCAGTAGTCCCCACTTTGGACCCAGTTTCTGCTGTTGATCTCGGGTGTTGAGAAGCCAAGGGAATTCATCTAGCATTTTCGTGAAGAATGCTCAGGACTGCGAAGAATTGATACAACAGAATCTGACAGATTGCATAATATTTTCCACCTTCAGAAACTGTCGCCTGTTGTCATCTTTAACATTGTATGCAGGATCGCTTTGTATACTTTGTCGGATTCGAGCCGTCGGTCACATACCTTCTGGTAGAAAATGAGAGGCCAAACGGGTGGTCCAGGTAGAACGAGGCCGAACCGGAGACCTAAATGTCTTAACAGCTGACCAAGCGGTGTCGACTCTCAGCGGCGAACGAAATTCCCTTTCGTGTTGGCCTGATACGGTGTTTTATTTTCGTATTAGACCGCGCAGATATTCACAGAGCGATGAGGAGTGAATAGCCGAGGAAGAATTTACTTCATTTTACCAGTATGACGGCCACAATTACTCCAAGTTAATAACCGATTCCCCGGTACCATATAAAACCTGGAGGGGCGCAGCTACTGGCAGAGGTGCATATGCGGTCCAGCCACCCACACACAGAGAATGGCTAGTCCGTTGCACTGCGCAGAGAGTGGTTTACGTAGGCCACCCTCCCAAGGGCTGATCACGTGACTGTTGATAGTATAGGCAGATAGTATTGTTGGCAAATACAAGACAGACTGGAATGGCAATTTGTAGCTTATTAGCCGTCGTCAGGCGTTTGACTCAGACGTTCGACTCTGATCAAAATGGTCACGAGTTCGAGGCTCGAGTGAGGCACCACTTGGGTCTGGGGTAAATTTTCCAAGCACCTACGCCAACGGGTGCTCGCAAC